CAGAGAACGGGGTTCGAAAAAATGATGGCGGGTGCTGTACGTACTGACACACTAGCATGCCAAAGGCGCTAAGAAGGTGGACTTTCCAGTGTTTCCACCTATCAAGAAGAAAACATAAAAAGAAAGGTGGACTATCGAAAGAAAGTAGGCACACAAAGAACACAATCTCACAGATATTTGCCTTCCCTCAAGCAGCACCAGTCATGGCAGTCTGTCCAAACACCAGTACCTTGGAGGGGCCGCAGGCAAGCTAGACTCATTTCACTGTTTTCAGCCACCCAAAGGTAAAATTATCTGTCATGAACAACAAGAATACTAACTTGGGCAATGTCGATATCGAAAACCGATGCCTTTCCACTCGACAGTCCAACTTCCAGCGACAAAAACACTTTGCAATATGCCCTTCAACAGATTTACAGTCTGTCGCTACTAAACCACACTACCACTGACGGGGCATGTTATTGCAAAAAAAAAAAAAAAAAAAAAAACTCGGCCACTCTCCCCAAGAACTCTGACAGCAGAGTCTCTTGCGAACTCACGAGTGCTTTGTGGGAAGCATATCCACTGTTGGATCAGACTCGCAACAGACGTTCTGGAATCGGGAGATTTTTTTCCGCCTCCCTTTCTCCTTTCTTTCTTTTCTTTAAAAGGCGATGATGGCCTTGAGATATCATGTTTGAGCTGACCAGGCCCAGGTAAATTCAGAGTCATTTTCACTCCTCAGATTCCATTAGAATTCAAACTCAGGTCTGCATGTCAAGAGTTCGTAGGTGTACCAACTGAGTTAGGCCAGTCGGTTCTGCATCCCTATCTTATTTCGGAGAATTTTGAAAAGTGCCACCTACCGCAAGGCCCGTTTCAGTCGATGACAGAAAGAAACTATGGCTGCTTGCCAGATTGCCGATGTTGTGATGGGCAAACCACCTGAAAACTCCAGACCAGTGCTAAACACGCCCAGCGCAAAATGGGTCTCTGATGTCAAGGGCCCTTTCGTCCCACCCAGACCAAACTGGCCAGAACAGATCACACCACATTCCGATAGAAACCTTGTAGCACAAGTTTTGTGGCTAGTATGCTCCAGATAACTTCCCCAGTGAGCCGCTCCCGAAGAGAGTGGAGAACAATTTTTTGGACATAGGTGGAATTTCAATGGTCTCCGGGACCATGAAGTTGACGAGGGGCTGCATCACTGTGTACCTGCACCAAATTGAGTGGATGCGAAGTAAAGCAACAAAATCAGCCAGGAATTACAGGTGCTAGAATCTGAGGTTTCAGAACCAGGTTCAAAAAAAAAAAAAAAAAAAAAAAAAAAAAGAGAGAGAGAGAGGAGTGGAAACAAAAAGGAAGAATTCCTGAAAAAAAAAGGACAAAATGTTGTCCTTCGGGACACCCGTTACCTGCACCAAATTGAGTGGATGCAAACATTGCAAAGTAAAGCAACAAAATCAGTCAGGAATTTTACCTTGAAACGGTATTCACCAGTTCGCAGTAGCGAATGCAGATCCCAGGGGCTCGATCCCTAGTTCCCTATCTTACTTGTGTACAGTATTGATGTCAATCCGTAGACTTGAACCCGCGACCTGTAGGACCGCCAGTGGTAGGCAGGGTTTCGTAGGTCACAGCTTAGAAGGGAATCGAACTGCAGACCTGTAGGGTAGGAGTCTAGACAGTTCCAAAGTCGTAGCTGTAGGATGCCTGAAGAGTCAAGGTYGTAGCTGCTACTTACCTGAAAGGGCAAAGTCGTAGCTGCTACAGTACCGAAAGGCCAAGTTCGAGACTTCTCGAAGTGGCCTTTTGGAGTTGGCCTGTGTTCAGCAGAGGCAAGTGGTCAAGTGGTGGTAGTCCACCTAGCCCAGTCAGCAGTCCCAGTTAGTCAGTCCGGTCCTGTTCAGCGAGTACCGTCTGGGACTGTGTGCACATCGTGGGCCAAGGGATACAGGGCAGACCAAAGCAGCGCAGAAGTATAAATCAAGAGGCTGCGTCCAGCCATTCATTCATTTCCTGTGGATGCCATGCGGAAGCGCTGCCTCAGCAGCTTGTGCGAGGAGGTTTGCAGTGCGCCCGAAGACGAAGTGGGCAGCAGTGTAGTGTAGCAATAGGGTAGCGCAGCTAGCGCTGCCATAGCTGTAGCATAGTGAGTGTGTGTGTTGTGTATGTCCAGAGTGTTGTGTGTGGGACATCCAGGGTGATCCAGAGTGCGAACAGTGAGTTGTGTGGGCGCTCAGTCGCCATAGCCAGTTGGAAGAGAACTCTTATCTGGTTCCGATATCTTTGAATACTGTGTGGGCGCATGTCGCCAGTTTGCTGTCTCGCTGTTTGCATGTGTGACGAGTGTGAATAAGCCGAGTCTGATTGCACTGGTATCGGAGCTGGTACCCGCTGTTCCACACGCGCGATGGTTGCAGGGCAGATGCTCCATAGCTGAGGTGACCGCCGGAGGAGGCAGTCCGCCATAGCGGACCTCGAGGTGGAAGAAGACCCCGCGCACCTGCAACAAGAAGACCACTACGAAGAAGAGAGAGAGAGAGAGAGAGAGAGAGAGAGAGAGAGAGAGAGAGAGAGAGAGAGAGAGAGAGAGAGAGAGAGAGAGAGAGAGATGAGACGG